CACACAGGAGCAACCAAAAATCAAACCATATGACTATGCATATAATTATTTACTGCATACAATACACGACCCTACACACTTCATGTACTTACATAAATACACATAATTTCATACACTTCTACAAATACATCGGACCGAGACCATCTTTAAAGTCCTTTCCAACTCAAGCCATTCCACGATAGACTATAGAAAGCATATGGTGCATTATATGTTACATATGATGTATAGTCCAATCATTTCCATTCCCAGCACTCTACAAGCATCAGAGAAGAGGTGGATGTCTTCCCCACACGGCTGCCAGCACCACGCCAGCCCTGACCCACATTGCCCCACGGATGCCAGCAGCAAACGCTGCCCCATGGAGCCAGCACAGGAGCTGTCCGGTGCTGAACCCCACACCGCCGAACCCAGCGCCCGGCAAAGAGCGGGAGCGATGGGCGAGAGCCACTGCACACCACCAACGAGAGCTGGAGCACTTACCCCGTCGCAAGGCATTCAAATGAACTTTTCAAATCAGACAGCTCGAGGAATCACATTACAAGATGTACAATTGGGTTCAGCTGACCTCAGAACAGAACAGACCTCAGAATAGAACAGACCTCAGAACGGAACAGACCATTGCTCACAATGTTGTTGACCAATGCTCCGTAATGTTGTCCGTCAGTGCCAGGGGAGCATCCAGTGACACAATGCTGCACAGAAACAACCCCACTACCAAGGCAGTCATTGTGCTCGCGGTCCCACAACCTCTCCCCACTGCCACCTCCAGCCTCCGAGCGCCCACAGGCACAGAGCACAAGTGCCGCCAGCCACCCAGCACCACCCACAAGGTTCTGCAGAGCCATCCTGCGGCTTCTCGGTGGAACCCATGCAGCACCTGGCCACCTCCAGCAGCAGAGATGGGCAGCAGAGCCAGCAGCCTGCGGAGCAGCCAGGCTGCCATTAACTGCCAGACAGAGATGCTCACGCGCGAGAAGACGGCAGTGCTAATTAGAGACGTGACCCGTGCCTGCACATCTCGGCGCAGCGCGGAGAGAAAAAAGTGCTGAGTTACAGTGACCTCCCAAGGAGAAAACAAGACTGGCAACGCTTTCTGCGAAGGCACTCTTCCGACTAGTTGAACATCATTGCTGATATTGCTTTAATTATTATCTCTACTTAAAATAAGCCTTATTTCAACAGTCTGGCATGTCTCAGCGCTGCAAACTTTCTCCGGCTTGGAAATTATCTCCTTTTTTTTCCTGCTCTATACACAGTATTACTGAGAAGCAAGCCAAATCCCTTCCAATTATGTATCATGATGTTTCCCCAGTGTTACAGTAAAGCAAGGCCCTTCACTCCTAAATGGCACGGTTTATAACAAATTGTCTGTTATACCAGACAGAAACTGATTTCCTCAAACCGAGCATATTAAAGTGAGTACATTCATTCTGGTTGTAACACACAAAATGTGATTATAACAGACACATTTGGGGCTTTTTAAGGCTAGCGGAGAAGAGGAGGATAAGCTGGAGGGGAAGAAAGAATTGACAAGTAGAGAAATGACAGAGAAAGAGGAACAGCCACGCTCATTTCCTTCCTTACAAAACAAAAACCTTTGTGTGTTGTAGAAATGTGCTTTCGTTAACACCGCGAGATAGCCAGAGCAGAAAGTGCCTGCGCTGCCTGAAACGAAAATTGCTCCATTGTGCTTAGAAAACCATTTCCTATGGCGAGCGGAGTGCTTTCCAGGTAGTAAAAAGCCTATCTGAAACCACCAGGGCCTTATCCCACAACTGTTGCTCGCTCCAATAATCCCTGCTGCTACGAGGAGCCCAGGTGAAATCAGTGTGAGTGAGGATTATGCTAGAGTGTGGCAAGGCAGGGACTATGGCAGGATGATCACAAATGCAGCTGTTCTCTATCCTACCCCTGGGGCTGGGGTGCTCCTGCCTGGTGCCACTGGCCATTGACCTTAAGGGGTCAATGACTGCTCTGTGGTGACTTGCTCCATTGCGGTGGCATTGGGTCAGTATGATCCAGGCCAGGGGAGATGTTCCACCCATGGGGTGGCATTTCCCAAAACCATGTCCCCCAGAACAACATGGTGTACCTGATGGCTGGAGGAACACAGGTAGGTAGCCATTGCACACAGGCAGTGTTCTTTTCAAGCCAAAATGGGCATGCAAGTGTTACCCAAGGGTGGCTGCTCTGCATGCAAATTGTGTCCCAGTGATCCCAAAACACTCTGCATTCAGACTGGTTTCCACACTGCCCCATGCATCACGCATTTTTATCAAGGGAGCTGACTAATAGTTCCAACTACTTTAGGTTCCTCATCTTGTGGTACAAAGTCCAACAGTCTACACACACCATCCAACCATGCGCCCACTGGACTCCATCTGATGTCCCCATGCTCGGCAAGCAACAAAGCCCTGGGCCCCAGCACTGACTGGCACGCTTCCCCACTCCCTTCTGCAAACTGAGTCCAGGGCAGATGGGAACACTTGGTGCCACCACCACACCATGCACAGCCCAGGGAAGGAATCCCATCAGCACCAGCACAACCGCGGCTCCACACATCCCAGTCCTGAGGCTGTTGGAGCCAATGAGCCTTGCGCTGCAGCGCAGCAGCACAGCACATTCAGTGCTCCCGCTCAGAGGCAACCGCTCACCACCAACACGAACATCATATGCTAAGTGACACTGCAGCAACATGTTTACCTCCATGCTTTATCTCTCATCAAGCAGCGCGTTGCCTTCCATCGACGCGGGAGACGAAGTGACTCCGAGGTGGAGCGTCAGCGCTATCTCCGTGACACTGACACCTATTAAAGGCTCCCGGGGGACGCGGCAGCAGCCTCGTCACTGCAGGCACCGCCAGGCGGCCCTACCACATGCTCCCAATGTGCTGAGGGGAGAGCTCATCACTCCAGGAACATCACGCTCGGGACGGGTTTGTTATTGCTCCACCAGCCTCACTTGGAGCAATCTGCACAGGGGTATAATTATAGCCCGTAGCAACCGCTGGCAAAATGACAGACAGCAGTGGGTACAGGCAGCAGCACTCTGTGTAAGGAGCAGGATTCGGGCAGTGGGATAGCAGGAAGGGGCTGGAGGAGGGCACATGATTGGGGTGCACTTGAGCAGAGCGTGGAGAAGCTGGGAAGCCTCTGCAGGGAGCACCTGGCATGGGGTGACACACAACCTGACATGGGGGTGATGCACGACAACCTGACTTGGAGGTGATGCACAACAACTTGAGATGCTGAAGATGAACAGCATGACATGGGGGCAATGTACAGTCTGACACAGGGGTGATGCATAGGCTGAGATAAGGAAGATGCACAGCGTCAACGTGGTGAAGCACAATAACCTGGCATGGAGGTGGCAACACAATGGTCACATCTCCCTTCAGTTCTGCAGACACTGTGTGTGGCAGACAGGAGGTGGCTATGGTCACTGCTGGCTCCTGACACTGCTCCAGAATCAGGCAGCCACCTCATGCTCAGGGGGCACCTGGGCTTGTAGGAGTGGGCTGCACCCAGTAACACAAGTGGAGAAGTACCCTCGTAAGAGCTGGAAACACACTGTGGGGGCTCTCTTCCAAAAAATGAAAATAGAAAACATTCCTACCCCAGAACAAACATCCAAGCAGCCTCCAGTTGGGATTTCTCTGACCCTGCCCTTCTGTACTGCAACATCCCCAGAGCCCATGGCCCCATAGGAGGCAGCTCCACACTCATCCATGGCCGGGGGAACCCCTCTGGGCATGATGGTGCCTCATGAGGGCACACAGCAGGAGGAAGCCAGGCTCTGAGCAGGGAAGGGAGCCTCCCACTGCCCGCTCACAGGGCTGCTGACACTGCAGGGCAGTGCTTCTCACCAGAGACAAATTCATTTCTGCAGGCCATGTACCAGTACTTAGCAATGTATCCTGTCTCACAAGGTCTGGGGAGAAGGAAAGGCAAAGCCCCGTGACTTGCACTCACAAGCACTGGTTCTATGCTCAGGTGCTAAGATACAGGGATAGGGGTGTGCTTCACCACCACATCGAATCATTAAGGTTGGAAAAACCACTAAGATCATCTAGTCCAACGCCAACCCACCGCCACCATACCCATAACCACATCCCTCAGTGCCACATCTCTGTGGTTCTGAACACCTCCATGGAAGGTGACTTCACCACCTCCCTGGGCAGCCTGTCCCACTGCATCGCCACTCCTTCTGATAAAAGATTGGGCCCGCCAGTACCAAGCATTTCCAGCAGTCCTGCTGTTTCGCAGCAGGCCAGGCTCTGTTCTCCACAGCAGAAGTCTGAATCTGAAGCAGCTCCACAGTCTCCAGGAGCATCACTTTGCATTTACACCAGCACCGCAAGTGCAGAACTAACCATAAATATTTTACGTGCTTTTTCAGCTTTGTTATTCCGTTCAAAGCAGGAAACATGACAAACCTTTGATTGTTTTGCTTAATACTAAACAATAATTCAAAGAGAGACAAACAAACAACATTAAATGATGCCTGTGATGTACAGGAAAGCCAATGAATTAGGAGAACCTGATGAGGACAGCGTGGAGCGCAGCAGCACCTTCACTTGGTACCACCCGTTGGCAGCACACCATCGTGTGCTGCATCCCCAGAGGGATGTGGGATAAGCAGTAGCCCCAAAAAGGCCTTAAGGACCTCGTAAAAACTCATGTCAATCCAACAAACACCTCTTCCTTTAAGTCAACGTGCTCAAATTCCAGCTGCAAAGCACACAGAGCCATGCCATGTCACGCCAGCATCCCCAAACTGGGCACTGCTGCTGGTGGGAGAAACACCCTCCTGTGAACACCTGCCACGACCACGCAAACCCACAAGAAGCGGTTCAACACTGTCCACCTCTCCCAGCAGAGAAGGAGGCGAGCGCCCGGCCAAGCACCTGCCCTCTGCCCACCACCCATCGCAAAGCAACCTCGAAGCGTCGGCTCATCCCGGCAGCACGGAGCCATCGGCGGTAGCCAGGCAGGACTCACCTCAGGCAGTGGCATCCCGTTGATGATGAGGTCGGGCTGCTGGGGGCTCTGTCCCGTGAAGGTGTGGTGGTAGATGTGGTTGGAGCCGGCGTTGCGGCTGTTCTGGCTCTCCACATTGAGGAAGGTGCTGTCGGAGCGGCGGCAGCCCAGCGGCAGAGTCTGCTGGTGGTAGTCGAAGTAGTTGAGAGACGAGGTGAGGGAGGAGCAGCTCACAACGTTCATTTTATCCGTCTCCTCCACGTCGCGCGGAACCAGGCGGATATCGTTCTTGCTGATTTTCTTCTTCTTGCTTGATTTCTTCTGATGCCCGTAGGAGTACTCAGCAATTCTGGGGGAGGGAAGAAAAAGGAAGAGCTGAGAGCATCCCGAACTCTGCCCCTAAAAGGAGCACTTGGAGAGCTGGCGGGCTCAGCCCCATCCCCGTGCAGGATTCAGTCACGCGCATTACGTCACGTTCGGGCTCTTGTGGCACAGAACAGTCTGGAACCGATTTTCCTACGTATAACATATTCGGGTCAGACACGAAAAGCAGAGGGGAAATGCCCCTGCTTTTTTTCTAGTGTTTCTTATTGCTGATATTTAGTGACTGGGAGTAAAGTCCAGCCTGCAGAAGAGAAAAATGGAGATGTTAAAATCCATGAACTGAAAAGGGTACCTGCATTCATTTCCATGCGTAATAAGGATTTTAAAAGTGATTTAATTTGGTCCCCATAATGAAAATTCAAAATGAATAGTGGATTTTTTCCCAGTTCATTTTCCATAGCAGTAAATAAAGCAGACCCAGAAGCAGCCCTGGCTGGCAAGCTCTATTTCTCGCACTCCAAAGGCCGTTTGTTTATTAGCACTCTATCCAAAGCGCTCGTATTTTGGCTATCTCCTGGCAATACCTGATCTCTGCAATCTCTCCTCCAGCCGTGCCTTATTCCTCACTCGTCCCCTGACACACACACACCCCCTCCTGCTGGGAAAGGCTTTCGTCTTCTGGAAATCAGAGAACTACAACTGTGTTTCGCAAAAAGAAATGATCCTTCCCGACCTTTTTTTTTTTTTTTTTTTTTTCTTTCAAAACTGCAAGCTTGCTTTTCTCTGCCTTTCTTCCCCTATTTTGCTTCCCACTGCCAAAAGAATCAGCTGATGAAGTGTCTTGTTGTCTTCTACATAACACCGGGGGGGGGGGGGGATAAAAAAGTTACCATAAAGCGGCGCACTAAGAACATAACACCACTGCACCTTGTGCTAACTATGCAGGCTGAGCTCGAAGGGCTGGGGCTGCTCCTTCCAACACAGCCCCACTGGGGCATGCACAGCTCAGCACTTCCCAAGGCACACCGCAGCTCGTACCGCTGCAACCTGAAAGCCAGGAGTTGCTCTTCTGTTTAACATGTATTACAAAAAAAAAACCAGCAACCACCAAATACAACAGCTGCAGCCAAAACAATAGGATGAATGAATAATACAGATTATCTAGAAAGGCAAATATTGGGAAAATACTCTTGTTCCAGAAAGCTAATTGCCTGAGCATGAAAATGCCACCAAGCCAAAGAGCTCCCTCGTATAACCTTACGTGCCCCGTAAATTCACACGTTTTACGAAGCCTCTCCGCCAGATGTTGCGAGGAACCTCAGAAATAAAGCCCTGGAAGCCCAAGTGCAGGCACAGCACGGCGTGCCCGGTGACCACAGGCAGGGCCGGGGCGATCCACTGCCCCTCTCCCTCTGCAGCTGACTCCTGCTGATCAGATGCACACGGATAGCAGCCCGCGCCTCCCCTGAGCGCGGCAATAAATCAGAGCAAGGCAGAGATTTCTGTTGTGCCAACAATCTATACGCCGCCGAGTCGCCCAACAACGCTTGATGAAGCTTTAATTGTTTTGTTTACCTCAATGTTTAAGTTTGGCAATGCGAGATCCCGATTTATTTCCCGCAGGCATTCATTTTGTTGTCCTTTCTCTATTGACCAATTATTTAATTAAACTGCACTTCATTAATCCCTAAGCCGTCACAGCAAACCCAGCGCCCATTCACACTCGTGAAGCTGCAAGGGGCACCACGACGTGATTTTTATACGTTCGGATCCCATCCGTGTTTAATGGGCCGAGCTGGCAAGAAATCTGCTATATTAGCTCCCCATAACACAGCACAAAGCCAGTTTTATTTGCAGATGATTTTTTCCCCCATCGTGCAAAAAGCCTTATAAATGCACTTCATGTTGTGAAAACGGGGTGTAAAAATCAAACTCTCGAGCATTATTTCTGCACAAATAAAACTTTAAGGACCGCACATCCCCCTTCTCCCCCCCCACCGAACGGCCACAGGCGATGCCAGGTTTCAAAGGTAGAGCAAAATTAATTTCCATTCCTCCCATCTGAAATGACTCAGTGCTGAAGGAATGGAGAAGTCATGGCTATTTCACTAGTAACAGGATTAAACCATTTATGAGGCATTGCAGCTGCTCTTTTATGGCATCTGATTGATATTCATGTGTGGTTAGCGTTTGTCTACTAACTTGTGTAACACTGAGAATAGTAAAAGAGAGACAATAATCGCGGGGCTGTTACATATTCAGGGGCTCAGTTCCACATCTTCCCCTTTCAGCAGGCGCTGACCTGCCCTCCTGCATTTCGGACCGTGCGCCCACATTCAGCCCAGGCAAAAGAATGCAGCGCTGCAAAAATAATTGCGAGAGCCCAGCTCACAGCCACCGTGTCCCCATCGCTTCCATCAGCCTGCGGGGATGGGAAGCTTTGGGCAGCACTGTCGTCCGTGGCTGAGCCGCATCCACGCCACGGGCACACAATGGCTCTTGGAGACAAGGAAAGGCCCACGGTCCCCGCTACTGTGGGCACCACCAGGATGCCACTCTGCGGTCCCATGGCACGTGGGTAGGGCGGTGGATCTGTGCCCAAGGCACTTCTGTACAGAGCAGAACCCAACACCCGCTGCAACAGATTGGCAAATGAAAAACGATGGCAGCCCGCACCTCGGCGCGGGGCTCGCTTCTTCCCCCTGAGAAGTGCTCTAAAGCTCCTAAGGACATCTCACAGACCTGCAGCTCGCGGCTGCTGCTAAAGCAAAAACCCCAGGCATAAAACAGCAAAAGGAAAAATAACTGTGCTCGCAGAAACCTAAGCAGCCCCTGGCCGGTACACAGAAATAAAGATGTTCTTTACCTGCAGTTATAGGTCCTGATTTCCTTGTTATCCCTTTTGCACTTTACGGCCACGAAGATCATGGTGACAAAAAGAATGGCTGCAATAGACCCCAGGGCAATAATGAAAATCAGGGAGAGGTTAACAGATCCTATGGACTCCTGGGCATCCAGGGCTGGGGACAAGTATATCAAAATCAAGGCAGAGGCCGACAGGGATGTTTTTCCATGGTCGTGAGCCACCACGATCAGCTCGTAGGCTGTCTTGGCATTCTCCCCAAAGGCTCTGGTGGTCCTTATCTCTCCATTGACCTGGTCTATCTCAAAAAATCCTCTGTCTCCTTCCACCATTTCATAGGAAAGCCTGCCATTTTCACCCTCATCATAGTCATCTGCTTTGACCACTGTCACCAGGTAGCCAACCCCTGCATTCCGGGGGATGTAAACCTCCGCGGTCCCATTGACCAATGGTGGGGCAGTGATCACCGGGGTGTTGTCGTTGACGTCCAGGACGATCACCCTGACAGTGGCATTGCTCTGCAGAGAGGGATTGCCCCCATCTTTCGCCAAGACTTTGAACTCAAAGGCCTTGGTCTGTTCATGATTGAAGGACCTCAAAGCATAGATATCTCCAGAGTTGGGGTTGATGGAGACATAGGTGAAGACAGGCATGTCCCTGACTTGGGAGGGCACGATCTGGTAGGAGACGCTGCCATTGAGGCCCAGGTCAGGGTCCCTTGCTGAGACCGAGAGGAGGTAGGCCCCCGGGGTGTTGTTCTCCTGCACGATGACCTGGTAGTAGGGCTTGGAAAAGTGAGGGTGGTTGTCATTCTCATCGGTGATCTTGACAGTGAAGGACTTGGTAGCCTGCAAGGAGGGGACACCATTGTCCTTGGCCTGGATGGTGAGGTTGTACTGGTCCCTTTGCTCACGGTCCAGCCGCCCATCCACCAGGATGGTGGAGAAACTCTCGTACTCCTGCAGCCGGAAGGGTACGTTGCCCAGCAGCTTGCACTGCACACGTCCGTTGGCCCCCGAGTCGCGGTCCGAGACCCGCACCAAGGCAATGACGTACCCTGGAGGGGCGTTCTCGCTCACCTCCACCAGCTCGCTGTTAACAGAGAGAAGGTTGATGAGGGGAGGGTTGTCATTGGCGTCCTGCACGCTGATGGTCACTTTGCAGTGGGCAGGGATGGAGTTAGGTCCCAAGTCCTTGGCCTGCACATCCAGCTCATATACATGTCCCTCCTCATAGTCGATGGCACCACTGACTGTGATGAGGCCGCTCTGAGGGTCAATCTGGAAGAGCTCTCGAGCCCGGTCAGAGACATAACTGTGGAAAGAGTAGAGCACCTGCCCATTGGTGCCCTCATCCGGGTCAGAGGCGTTGAGGCGGATGACTGGTGTGCCTGGTGGGGCATTTTCAGGCACGCTGACAGTATAGGCCGGCTCCTCGAAGAGAGGGTTGTTGTCATTGGAGTCGATGACGCGGATGCTCAGCTCCACTGTGCCAAAGTTGGGCGGGTCTCCGCCATCCAGCGCCGTGATCACGTAACTGTAGTGGGACTGGGTCTCACGGTCCAGGCTCTTCTCCACTACCAGCTCAGCAAAGCGAGAGCCATCTCCCCGTGTCTTGGTCTCCAGCCCAAAGAGGTCATTGGGGGTGATCTGATAGCTCTGCACTCCAAAGCTGCCCGAGTCTGGGTCATAGGCACTTTCCAGTGGGACACGGGTGCCGGGGCTGGCTGTCTCTGAGATCTCCAGCTCGATCTGGTCAGTGGGGAAGCTGGGCGCATTGTCATTGAGGTCCTTGATCTCCAGCTTGATCACGCAGATCTCCATGGAGCTGGACATCACCTCCAGCGAGATGACGCACTTGGGGCTCTGCCGGCACAGCAGGTCCCGGTCGATCTTCTGCTTGGTGACCAGCAGCCCAGATCCGGGGTTGATGTCCACCAGGTGGGGGGCCGAGTTGGAGACCACTCGGAAGGCGGTGGGCTGCCGGGGGTCTATCACGAAGCCGGCGTCCCGCGCGTCCTTGGCGACGTTGGCGATAACGGTGCCGGCCCGCTGCTCCTCCTCCACCGAGTACTTGAGGTTGACGAGGGCGCCGGCGCCGGCCCAAAGCAAGGCGGCCCCCAGCAGCGCCGGGAGAGCCCCCATCGCCGCACCCGCCCCCTCCGGCAGCCGCGTCGCGCCCCGACGGCCGCTCGCCTCAGGGGCCGCCCGCCCGCATGCGGGCAGAGCCCGGCGGAGCGCCCCGGCGGCGGCGGCGGGCGGGAGCGGGCACCGGAGCCGCTGTCCCCCCGCGCCCACGCCAACGCCGCCCGCTCAGCAGCTTGGAGCCGGCGGTGCAAAGGATGGGTCGGGCATAGCGAGCGAGAGCGGGAAGTGTAGCCGGTCCTGAGCCGCGCCGCGCCGCGCCGATCCGATCCGAGCCGAGCCGCGCCGAGCCGAGCCTAAACCCGCTCCCGCCGGCGCTCGCTGCGGCGGCCGCACGCCACTGCCCGCAGTCCGGAGCGCCGGCGGGCGGCGCGGGGGCGGGCGGCGCGGGGGCGGGCAACGGAGCGGCGCGTCCAATGGTCGTGAGGGGGCGGGGCGGGCGCGGCGCTCTTCCACCAATGGGAGAGCGCCGAACTGCGCTGCCAACCGGGGGGCGGGGCCGAGGCGGGGCCTGCGGAGCGGCGCGGTCGGGAGCGGAGCGGCGCGGGGTGCGCCGTGTCGGGAGCCGCCGCGTGCGGCCCGAGTCCGCCCGGTGCCCCTCAACTGCGAGCGCTTTGGGGCGCGACGGCACCGTGGGAAGCGGCGCTGCTGGGGTTTTCCCTGCGGCTCCCGCGCGGGCAGCGCGCCCAACTCGCTGCTAATTATCTTTAATTCCCTGGGAAAGGCGAGAGCTGCTGCTGGGTGCTGCCTTTTCGCTTAGAAAAACCAACTTTCAAACGCGATTCACTGCTCCGTACATCGGGTCGCCGAGCGGACACGGGGGTGCATGGCACCGTGATTACGTAGCGCGGGGAAGCGGCTCGAGTGCTGGGCGGTCTGTGCTCCCCAACGGCCGCGGGCAGCGGTGCGGCACCCGGCTCTGGCGGGCGCGGCTCCGGAGCTTTTAGCTGCGAACTTTCAGCCAAGCGGAATCTCGGAGGGTTTAAAATACAATGATAATAAAAATTAAAAAAGGGCCGGGCTCTGGCGCTTCTCTGCGGCAAACCGCCCCGGGAACCCGCGGGTCGATGGCGGCCGGGCGGCGCCGGGGCGGGCTGAGGGACGGGGCTGCGGGGCGGCGGGGCGGCGGGGGGAGCGGCCTCGGCCCCCGGGGCTGCGCGGATCGGGCGCGCCGTCGGGGCCCGCGCGGCTTTGCAGGCACAATGGCGCCACCTTGCGGGCGGCGCGGACACGGCAGCGTCCCCGGACACCGCGCCGTAGACAGCAGCCCGGGACAGCAAAGCGTCGTCCCCCGGGATGCCCTTCTGGGGACAACATCCATGAGGATACTCTTCGGGGGACACCATCTCTGGGGACACCATTTCTACGGGCACTCTCCCAACGACGCTCACCCTGGGGACATCATCGTGGGGACATCCCACTTCGGATGGCCATGGACGCGGGTGACATTCGCGCTCCCGGCCCGTGTCCTACGGGACTCCCGCACCTGAATCCGCTCCTCGCCCCGCCCGGGAGGAGGGGACGCGGCAGGTGGGGACGGGGAGGGTGGGGGCACATCTGCTGCCGAGCTCCTGTCGTCTCTTCCTCGGAAAAATTGATTCTGATGACTTGAACTGTGCCACGCGGATTGGAAAGCCGGCTGAAGGCTCATAAACAAAGGGTAATTAGAAACAGGGGGAGGTGTTGATGGGGTACTGCAGAGATCTAGGTTAGGTCTGCTCTCATTTAATACCCTCATTAATGACCTGGAAAGAGGGAGTAAACTGCGCATTAATGAATTTGGCAGATGATGCTATGCTGGGAGGTGCTGCGAGCTCCAGCAAGCGTGGAAAATTAACACGAAAGGGCCCAGCGAGATTGGAAACGTGGGCAGGAAACAACAAAATGAGGTGAGTGCTGAGCACTCGGTGATGCCCAGGGGCGGAGGGGCACAAGCTGGGGGGGATGAGGAGGCTGAGACCCCCCAGGTGAGGTGGGTGTGGAGCTGTGTCTGCCAACAGGTTGTAGGGAATGATCAAAGGCACAGACTGACCGAGTTCAGAAGGAAGATTCAAAGGTTCAAATATATATTGCTTGTGTAGAGCTGTATGTCAGGAGGCAAACAGAGCCTTACAGATGTGGTTGGTGTAAACAGAGAGGGAGAGAAGGAATTATTTAACACGGAACAAGGGGCATCACCAGGAGGGACGATGGGAAATGAGGAAATGGAGCATTTAGGTGGAATGTCACAGGGGAAAAAATCCCCTCTGCTGACAGTGGGAATTATGAGGCTGCGATATTCCCCGGAAGGAGAAAGTTGTGCAGTGGAGATAAGTAAAGCAGAGGGAATCAGGTGAGCACAAGGGGATGTGAGGAGGAGCAGGGGCTGGGCAGGGACCCACCTCCTTTTCCAGCTCTTTTTCTGCTGAAATATTTCCTTCTTAAGTCTGAGAGTTTTATTTATTGCGTGTGTGTCTTTCTGCTGCTGCGATAAAGGAAATTGCTGATGTGATGGAGGCACCAGGCAGGCAGGCAGGCAGGCAGGCAAAGGCTCTGAGATCTGAAAAAATTCCCCTCCTTTTGGCAATGAAGAAGGGCAGGGTGTGGGCGCAGCGATGGGCTCATGTCTGGGCTACTGCCTGACCCCACTCCACATCCCCTGCCCTGCAGGAGGGCCGGGTGCTGTCACCAACATGGATTAATGGCCGTGGTATCAGCACAGATGGATGGCCGGGGTGAGGAGAAAACATCGCGTCCCAGGGAACTCAAGCAGGCACATTAATAAAGATGCCACACGTTGGCTCGGAAATCTGAACGCTTCACTCCGCTCCTTGCAACTCAATGAGCAACACCCAAAGCCCAGCACTCACCACGCTGTGACCACGGAGGGGACAGCTGACACAGAGCTGCCTGCCCCATCCACTCCCACTGCCCTCCCCTTGGCCAGACCCCATGCAAAAAGCCCCCCATGCACAGGCTGAGGCCGAGCCCCTGGCTGCCAGTGTGGAGCTGCAGCCATCCTTGCAGGCACCTTGCACGAAGGTGGTGCTGCTGCTCCTGCCCACACTGTGCAATAAGGAAAGCTGTAATTAAAGCACACAGCGCAGCTTGCAGCCCTTTGTTTGAGAGCTAATGCAAACAACACCTTCCCAGCCCAGCACCCATTGCTGTCTCTCTTAAACCCATCAGAAGTAAATCTTGGGGTTTGAGCCATGGGTATTTGAAGCCATGGTGTCAGCTGCCAGCTGGGGGTGTTTAAAACTTACATGGGTGATAGCATGAGACCACGTGTGGGGAGAGGCTGCGGGGAGACCCTGCACACAAAACGCTCCACGACGTCAAAATTCATTTGAAACATCAAAGAGAAACTTTATCTGTTTAATTTTTTTTCAGAGCTGTCCTTTTAATTCCACAGGTAACGTTTGTGAAGTGTTGTTTTTCTCCTTTCTGGCACTTTTCCTTTCAGATGCTCGGAGAAGGAAAATAAATGATGTAGGTTTATTTTTTCCTTTGCTTATCCAGTGCTGCAAAACTTGAAAGCTTTTCAACGCATCCGGGTGTCAGCGTTACGGTGTAGGTCTGTGCTTTTTTTCCCCTAGCAATGTTTCTAATATCACAGCCGACGAGAAAAACTGCAGCAGAGAGAGATGAAATGGAGAAATGGGAAAACTCAGAGCAAAGCTGCTCGGCCATTGAGCCACCAGAGCTGCGGGGAGAGGTGACAGTGCCAAAGGGCCCTGGCACTGCTCTGGGGGATTCGATCCGCTCCCATCGCTCGATAGTTTAATTCGCTTCCACCGATGCAGCATCTTTTATCAAAGATTACATAATGCTGAATAATCACGAAGCGCATCATGCAGAGCCAGACAGGCAGCTCTAATCTGATTTAGAGCCTATATTAAAAAAGTGGCAGGTGCAGGGTTGAGATCTGCATTGGGGTCGGCCCAGGGGAAGAGCACCGGGTCCCTCCCAGGTGCACAGCCTGCAGCTTGGTGTAGTGCTGGGGGTGCAGAGAGGGTCTGGGGGGGACACAGAACAGCTGGGTGCCCTGGGGCAGTGTGGTGCTCAGGCAAAAGGCCACCGTGGCCCAGAGCCTCTTCCGTTTGGGAAGGTGAAGGCAGTTTCAGCAGAAAGAGCTGGACTCAGAGTGGGGCTGAGCAGTGCCACCAGGATGCTTGGCCACCCATCACCCCCACATCCCTCCTGCCCCCCAGCGTTGCGGCACGGCAGCACACCTGTGGGAAGCTTGTGCTCTGGCTGGATATCTCCCCTGCAATCAATTGCAGCCTATAAACCCATCAACTAGGATAACCTTGTGATCAAATGGCCAACAGAGAAAAGTGCTTAATATTATCCACTCCAGATAATGAGCTGCATTTCCAGTGCAGGCCCCAAACACACATCACTGCGCACTAAATGCCATGCAATTGCCTGAACAACAAGTTAAGCAAAGATTAAAAGCACGGAGAGGAGAGGGAGGGGAGCAAAGTGAGCACAATGACATTGCAATTGGTGCCATCGGAGCACTGCTGTGCAGCCCAGCCATGAGCTGGACCTGACAGCCGGGGAACAGAGCCCCCCAGAGAAGGGCAGTGACGTGCAGAATGTGCTCAGCGTGGTGCTTCGCTCTGCACTGCTCCGTGGCTGGTGCACAGAGGGTAGCATTCTGCACAGCAGCTCCATCAGGAGCCTCAAAATTGTAAATATGGTGAAATCCCTTATTCTGCATTTTTTCTTGTCTCCCCTCTTTGTCCCAGTGCACTCCATAGTCTGCTGCTGACCCTGTGGGATGGGAAATAGATTGTGCTGCTCCTTTCCTCCAGCCAAAATTAGATACCTGGCACTGGTGGAGTGCTGACAGCTTCCAAATGTTCTCTTGCTTTTACCTGGAGATGGTCCCAGCAACGGGCAGGAAGCAGCACTGCTGGGACAGTGCCACTGCAGCACCTACAGCCAAGGGGTGGCTGTAGGGACACACTGTGTCCCCAGCTCTGGCGCAGCAGTGCCACCAGCACCAGCCC